GGTACTGCGCTACTCCAACACCCCCTAATCGCGACCTGAAGAAACTGCCTCTTGAGTTCCATTATCAACGCTCCCCTCCACTGTACCATGGCCCCTAAGGCCGGAACGTAAATACAAGTATTCACGCGTCAAGTCACTGCAAGCTGGATCCGATAGTATACCTGATCATAGCCGAAGGATTGGGAAACAATGGCAAGCAGGCGTGGTAGTCGAGGAATTCCATTTGTTTGCGCACCAATTTCATACCATATACGATGCGCGATCATTACCGAAAAGGAGGCGCGCAGGACGTCGAGCCCGTGTCGGACCCTGCTCGCCTGCGCGCCCCTGGCCGGGGCGTGCGCGAGGTCGGCCACTGCGTCCTCCGCGGAGATGCGGGCCGCCAGGCTGCTGGCCCATCCCCCGCGCGACAAGGTACCTTCCATGCTTCGAGCGCGCAAAAGATACTCGGGAGCGCCACCGCGGTGGCAACTGTGCCAGCTAAGCGGAGCGGGCGCACGAAACCGAGGCCTTCCATGCGAGCGCGCAGGGCCGTGCGCAGCTGGTACGGGGATCGCGCCGTCAAGCGCTCAGCGCAGGGAAGCCTGGCCAGCATCGTCCGCAGCAGCTGCAGAGCGATGGGCGACCTGATCACCGCCGCCCTGGCCGCGTCGCGCCCCGCCGTCGCGTCAGGTGGGGCGATGAGGAGGGCGGCACAGGCCCCGCGGATGGCGACGTCCTCGCAGTGCTGGGAGAAGGCCTCGCCGCCGCTGAGCAGGCCTTGGGAAAGGCCGCCATGAGGAAGCGCGCGATGTCGATGCAACCTGCCTCCGCGCACAGGCTTGCCATGTCGCCGACGGTCTTCGGCGTGAAGGACAGCGCCGGGGCCGCAGTCTCGCGCTTCCGCCGGGTCTCCAGCAGCGCCCAGCTGAGGTCCCGCTTGCGACGCACGCACGGGCCGAATAAGCACGCCCCCGCGGCGGTGTTGTCGGCTGCCGCAGTGCCCAAGCCAGCGGCCCACTTGGCCTAGAAGTAACCGGCCGCCAGTGCGTCGGCATCCTCGCCCTCCTCGCCGAGCGCCTCGAAGCCTGCCTCGGGTGCGCCGTGGTGCTCCAGCAAGCGTGTGATCGCGCCGAGGTAGCGATGCCTTGTCGCAGGGCCTATTCGGAGGGGGGCGAGGGTCTGGCCGCGCGATGTCGCCTCGGAGAGGGCGGCGCCAGCTGGCGCGCGCCAGCTCCGGCATTGCCAGTGGCCTTGTCAGCGCGCCCACCTCGACCAGCAACGCCAGCGCCATCCATGAAACAATACAAACGCTGAAGGTGTTCCCGAAGAGGGCGGCCTGCGCGCCCGAACAGTCCTGCTTATTCGAGCCCTTCGTGGCAACGAGCGCGCGGCCCGCGCCGGGGCCCAGCGCCGCGTCGCGGCGTTCGGCGCGGGAGGGCGGGCGAAGAGCTGCGCTGGAGCCCACGTCGCGCCGCGTATCTCTCCTCGTGCAGCGCCGCGTGGTATCGGAAGGGGTCGGCCTACCAGCGCGCCCTCGCGGCCTCGGAGTCCCGCCGCAGGTCTCTCGGCGCCGACAGAAACTTTGCCCGCGGCCAGCAGCGCGCGACCGCGCGGGGAAAGGCCAGGAGCGCCCAGCCACTCGGCGGCGCCGCCCCTCGAATCCAGGTCGGGCAGCGGCGGCCCGGCAGAGACGACCTCGCAGCAGCCGCCCCTCTTCGCCGCTGACGGCGGGGCCGCCCCTGGCCGGCGGCGGGGCGCCAGCGTTGGCGAGCGCGCGCGGTCGGGCTCAACTTCAGGGGCCTCGCTCATGGCCAGCCTGCTGTTCTCCGTCATGCTTGCTGCGTTTTCGACGAGCCACCTCAGCTTGCCGCCGAAGGCTGCCAGGGGGGGCCCCGGCAGCCGCGGCGCCTCGCATAACGGGCAGAACTTCGCCGCGCCGCGCAGGCCTGCGCGCTGCGCGCTCGGCCTGACGAGGTCCCGGCATAGGAGCGAGGCACAGCTCGATCTCGCCCTGGTAGGCGTCGCGCAGCTTCGCCGCGAGCTCGGCCGCGGCCCGCGCGGCGTCGCCCCAGTCGAGCGCGCCTGGCCACCTCGGGCGCGCGACCCCGCGCGCCTCGGCGCCCGTCTCGGGCGGCCCTCCGACGCATCCGCGAATGGGAGATCGACCGCGGCATCGGCGGGTCGGAGATGGGCTGCGGGTGGCGGGCCCCGACGCTGAGCTACTCTTCGATGGTCGCCGCGTTGGCCAGGCTGGGGCCCGCCTCAGCCCTGGGGCCAGTCGACGGCTGACGTCGCCGCCAAACTCCGACGCGTCGGAGACTGTGGCCAAGCCCTCGGCGTTCGCCCTCAGCGACGTCGGCGCCATTGGCATGAGCATGATGGCCGCCGGCAGTTCCTCGACCGCTGCCGCCGAATAGCGGGCGCCCGCCCGCCGCGAGCTCGGCCGCCACGCGTCGTTGGGCACGCTGAACAGCGGCCCCCTGCACTCGAGGATCCTCGCGAAGCGGCCCGGGGTCGTCGTCGCCGGGCGCCGCGGGGCCACGTCGGGCCTGAGAGGCGCCGAGCGCGTCGCCGCCGCCCCCGGTGTCTTGGCCGGGGGCGCCGCCAAGCGGCCCGCGGCGCCGTCGACGGGCGCGCTCGCGCGTTCGACCCGCAGCTGCCGGCAGCGCGCCTTCTCGGGCGAGATGCCACCCCAGCTCTGTCGTAGCTGGCCCCCGCCTTGACGTAGAGTTCCGCGCGGACCCCCGCGAGTCGCCTGGCCCGCGCCTCCTGGGCGATCTCGGGCGCGTCGAAGTCGTCGATGTAGACCTGCCGCCGGCGGCAGTCAGCGCCCTCGGCAGCGGCGACCGCGGGTCGAGGTGAATCCTCGAACCGCCCACCCCGCAGCGGGAGGCCAGCGCCCAGCGGCGGCGGGAAGCGGCGCGGCCGTCGATGGACGCGCTGGTAGACGGGCACCGCCAGCGACCAGCCCATAGCGATAATGGCAGACGCCAGGCGCACTAGGGCTCGCTCCGACCGAAGAGCTGTCTTGCAAGAGGTCGGCCGACCGCCGTGCACCTGTGCCGGGCACGAGGGGCCCGCCGGACGAAGGTCCCCCTCTGGTCGTCGCCCGGCCATCTAGGACGCGCAGCGACGCCCGGCTCGTCGACGCCGCCAGCGTGGCCGCCTCGCCGACGCGGGGCCGCAGAATAGCGTTGCCCCGCACCATATTCGGGATGGGGCTGGTCACCCGCGAAGACTCGGGGCCAGGCCCCCCCCCCCCCCCCTGTCTTCCCGGCGGCGAGCAATCCGTCTAGCAGCGCGTGGCCGCGCGCACGCGGACGAGGTCCTCGGCGGGGGGGCACCGTGGATATGCCCTGGTCGACAAGGTGCAGCGCGAGCATCTCCCACTCATGCTGGGACCGCCATTGACGCGCGCCCGTTGCATCGGGTTAGGCCAATCCGCTTCAACCTTCAGCGCCTTCCGCTCCGCAACATCGGGCTCGACAGAGTCGATGGCATTCAACGTCGCGGCGTGGTCGCGCTCGGTCAAGCCATGGGGAAACTCTGTTAACGCGCAATGCAGCGCTCGCATCGTCGGTTCTCGCCACTTCTTCCGCTAGCGGGGGCACCGTGACGACCTCGAACGGGAACTGGGCAAACTCCTGTCCGAATGCGGATGAGCGCCATCGCGGTCTCTTGGGCCAAGGCGAACTTCACCCCATTTGCGGTAGGACGCCCGCGCGGCCCCGCAGTGCATGAAATTGATGCCCAGGGCGCTCAGGTAGCTCCAGGCCTCGGTCAAGACAACCTTGGCCACTTCAGATGAGCGCGCGCTCTGGTGCCATCCCGCAACTTCGGAGAGAATGGGCAGGGGCAGCGGCAAGATGTCACGAACGCGGCCGCCGCTCCCCTGCAAGGTGGGCGCCTGACTGGTGAACTCCTGCGCGAAGGTCCCCAGGCTGCCAGGGTGCGCTCGGGCGAGGTACACGGGGGATACGGCCAAGCCGACGCATCAACTTCGCCCGGGCCAGCAATCCCACGGACGCCTCGGCCGTCGCACCACGATGCTGACCCCCGCTGGCGGCGCCAGTGCCGCTTCCGCCAAAAACGGGGGAGGTCGGCGGTTCGGCCCCCCCCCCCACGGCAGATCACCGCCAGGAATCGGCGCCGGGCCGACCCTGGCCTCGGCCCCGCCTCGGGCCGCTCGGTCTGAACCTTGGATGGAAGCCTCTCCACCGCCATCATTGCCGCCAGCTTCGCCTTATGGGCAGCGCTGGTCTCGCCCTCGCGCCTCGGCATCTAGCGGCGGAGGTCTGCCCGCGAGCGCCGCGGATCTGGCTCCAGCCGCTTCTCGCGAAACTTCGCCGTGGCCCGCGCCTGCGCCAGCTCGTCGCCCAGCAGCTGCGGCACGCGGGCAACTGCTCCAGCCTTGACGAGGGGCTCCGCGTGGCGAAAACCTCGGCGGACCCACCCGACGCACAGGGCGCCCACGAGGCGCCCACGGCGCCCACGAGGCACCCACCAGCGAAACCTCGGCGGACCCACCCAGCGCACAGGGCGCCAACGAGGCGCCCACGGGCGGCAACGTGGCGGCAACGTGGCGAAACCTCGGCGGGTCCACCCAGCGCGCGTGGCGTCCACGAGGCGCCCACGGGCGGCAACGTGGCGAAACCCCGGCGGACCCATGCAATTCTTTAGGGACATGAGTAATAGCCCTGAAATGCAAACAATGATTGGGAACATATCTGTATATGGAGATGTACATGTATTTTCATGCACATATGTAGATCAGAAGATACGCGTACCTCTTTGCACATATGTCCACATACATGTGAACTGTCGCGCGGGCAACTTCCGGAAACATGCAACGATTCAGCACGAACTCTCAGGAGTTGGTCATAAAAACACGAATGTCCAACGTGATCCCAAACAGGGGCAAACGATGCTATAGCATAGTTGCTAGACTGGCGGCCGCATCCCAACACATCACGCACCATGACCCTGGAGTAGGCAAACCCCAAGCTCGCGCGACTTGCCTGGGGAACCAGGTGGCAATCTGACCGGTGGGGATTGTGCAGATAACCATCCTTGGGCGGGTAAGGTGGCAGCCATGCAAACAAGCACGTGACTTCTAGAACTTCGGTGCACGCTCGGTTGGCACAACCCCCGCCATGAAAGCTAGGACGTTGAAGCTCCAAAGAGACGACAAACTAACAACAGCTGGCCCAGGTCACCACCATGATCGCTGTAGTGCGCAAAGATCGTTTTTCGCAAAAGTGGCGTTGATATCGTCATCATCACCACCATCGTCGCCATCACCTATCTCTCTCTCTCTCTCATCTCTCTCTACCTCATACTGTATATCTTCATCCCGCGCCTCCAGATCCTCCTGCTCCCAATCCTAATCAGACACGTTCGTCATGTATGCCAACAACGGTCAGGAACTTTTCCTTAGCATGTTGCGGCGGCGGCCCAGGCGACACGTTATGCCCTGTAATAGCGTTTCGCTTCGCTCCGCGGGGCGGGAGGGGGGGAAACGATCGGGACGTTGGCGCTTGGGAGTCGGGACGTGGATAGCGTGCCGCGCTAAAGCGTGGTGGGCCAGAACCGGCGGAACGACACGCAAAGCTACCGAATTTCCGTTTTCGTCTTTTCCTTTCAGGCCTGGATGTTTCAAACGTTTTCCATCTTGTACTGGTGACATGACACATGACGGGCGCAGGAACAACGGTATCTGGTTCGTCCTCATATACAGCACATGCGGCAACAACCTTCAGCGACCGAACAACAACTCGCAACTTACCAAACAACTACAACGACCCTGTCCTCGATCGAGTCCACTCGGGTTTGCTTCCCGAGAACCGCGTTAGGCTCCATTGTTGTGCTGACTCACGGACGACCTTGCACGAGCGAACATGACGAATTCCTATCACGAACATGCCCAACATCTAAAACAACACCTTCCGCCACATGATGCCAACCAAAAAAAAATAATCACGGAACCAATAGCGCCCATCCGCTCGGCTAATCAGCCACCGTGCCAGCGGTACGTTGGGGCGTGTTTGACTACTTGCTGGTTGCCAAGCTCGGTTTCTGTTGTGTTTCGAAGGCCGACACAACAGCCCCTCGTCGCAACCGTCCTCCAAAAACCTTCCCCCCGATGCTATTTTCGCCAGCGACATTTTCGGCACCCAATCAGTTCCAAGATAGCCATCAACCGCCTCCCTCGAGAGGGCCTGAAGGCGTTCCACGAGCATCCAGAGAAAACCCAACGAGTTCCCGAAAACTTCAACATCGCCCCAGAATGGCCCGAAAGGCCCCATAAATGTCCAAGAGCCTCCCAAAGGGACTTCCCGTGAGACTCTGGGAAGCGAGACACTGAAAGGTTGTGTTTTCGCTTTCGAGTTTTCGGCTTGAGATCGCCTCGGGAAAGCTTCAGAGAGCTCTATTAAGCCCCGAAGACGACTCACAAGTACCGCGCGAGAGCCTTCAGACAGCCCCCAGGACTGCCCGAGAACCCTCCAAGACGTCCCAAGAGGGGTGCAAAACGTCCCCAATACCCGCCAAGACGTCCAGGAGATGGTTTAACCGAGCCTCGTCGGGAAAGCTCGGCGGAACCATCGCGCGCTTGATGGCCCCGATACCCCCAACGGGCCCCCAACAAGCCTCCACGAGGCGCCCAAGAGAGTTTCAGGAGGCCAACACGAGATCCGAAGGATGCCCCCCCCCCAAAAAAAGCTTCCAGAACGTTTCAAATGCGCCGTCAGGAAGGACAAAGGAGGAGGGGCGGGACGAGGCATGAGGAGGGAGCGAAGACTGAGATAACGAGGCTGCGAAAAAGGAGACGGCGCTCAGGGTCTGCGCCAGTCCAGACAGAGCGCTGAACTAGAGCGGATCTTAAACTCAACTTCCTCCCTGCTGCGCTGCTGCACTGGCGCGGTGGGTGAGGGGGGTTGCCAGAGGCATCTGGATTATTTGGTCTTGGGCACCTCGAGCAACAATCAATAATCTGACCGACCATCCTGGACCAGTATTCAAAGATCACCCTGCTTCCAATCTTGTGGATTCGGCTGGGACAAGGTCACTCTCATGACTTCGTCTGGTCGGGATATGAACACGTGCTACTTGTCCCACTTCTGCTGCTGAGGGGGTCGGTGACGGCGCAAGCGTGAGAAGCAAATCTTGGCCGCAAAGAATGTGTTGGGCCTCGGTCCCGCAATCAACCAAGAAGCCCGCCTGCTGGACACGCGCGAACACCTCCATGCCTCCGCTTCCAGATATTATCAGGCTCCCACCTCCTTGCCACGACTGCTGCTGCTTCTTGCCCAAACCTTAACATGTATAGTTTCAAGCGTCAACAAGAAATCACTAGCAACATGAAACGGTGCCTTGCAATAACAAAATGTGGCCACATTACCCACATTACCGACAACCATCCACCTGGTATACATGTATCAACGTTCACACCGAGATCACAACAACGCGAACACCGAGATGTCGACGATCCTTGCCGGCAAGCCGCTCAGAGATGAAGCGATTCAGCTCCGAGACGTTGCCTAGTCTGCGGGACTGGAAGTGGAAGAGGGCATGGGCGCTTGCCATAGGACGAGAGGGATTCAGATCATGAGTTTGTGCATCGTGTGCTCGCCCAGACGAACTTCAACATTCGTCATCATACAATGGCTGCTCTTGTAGACACCTGATCAAACCCAACTCCCATGCATCGCTGTACTACGTGTACGTCGTAGGAGAAGACGCCATCGAAGACTAGGCGGCTAAACGCACGTAGTCATCCGCGCCGTGGTACAGCTACAAGCTGTAATTATGGTCGCATGGATGATACAGCTGGTTGTGAAATGTCTAGTATGGGAGAGAAAACAGCAGTGGAAGATAGGGACATATCAGGCTATTACTTAAAGCTCAACGGTAAGATGATTTGAGGGATAGGCCAGATAACTGAATCTCGTATGAGTTGCGCACGGACAACAGAATTGGTCGCAATGCCTCCATGGCGCAGTGAGGGGAGTACGGAGGAAATGTACACAAACTATTGCAAGAGGAGAGCACGAAGGAAGCTTGACACTCAAAGACAGAGTTTCGGCGCGCCGAACGTCGGCCCAATCACAATCAAATTGCGGTGGCCAGCCCGGGAAGCGGGCCATGGCCCAATAACCAAATTCAGATATCAATCGCTTGTACCTGCCACCGCGTGGGATTTCAGGGAAGCTGAAAGACATGGAAATTGGAAAATCCGCGAACATGGAAACGGCCAGGGCCGGAAAAACTGGCCAGGGCTACAACGAGCCCGAAACAGATGGGACGAGATCGCCAGGGGCAGCTGGAAAACTAAAAGGAAACCGGCCAGGGCTGGGAAGAGTGGAAGGCCTGGCCCCAACCACTTTTTTCAGCTTCCCCATGCTCTTTCTCTGTCCCCCCCTGCCGTCGCACACCGAAGGCACACGACTGCCCCTGTCCAGGGCAGGAGGAGGAGGCTCGGCGCACCGGAGCGCGGTGGGCACAGTGAAGCTTTGGCCCCGGCGCGGAGCCGCATCGCTGCTCTCGTCATCGTCGCCGTTGCCATTTCAGTGTCAGCGGCGCGCCCAAGGGGGAAGGCAGAGGGGGCGGGCCTTCCCAGAAGGCTCAGGAGGCCTCTGGCTTTCTGAGAAGCTCCCTGAACCTTCTCCGAAGCCCAGCCGCCTTCATCGAAGGCCTGCACCCTCTCGCTTCTCCCCTGGGCGCGCCGATGACATTAGTCACCCCGCAATGGTTATCAGCATTTGCCGCCATCGCCACGTGATATCGCCACCATCAGCGTGCCAAGACCAACTAGAACAGCAACGATGACGACGTCACCATCACAATAAATGACCACTCCTCGCACTTCCTCCTGATGTCACCATAAATATTCACCGATGCCACCCGTGATGAACGCGACTCACCTTCTTTAGTCTGAACCGCCACGAGTTCCTGCAACAAGAACTGATCATCGTAACTGGATGGCAAGCAAGTCATGACCATCACGACTACCAACATCGCCATAACAAATATTATCGTCGTGACTATAATATTATAATTTCCGTTCGCATTCACTCCTTGCCGAGCGCGCTCGATTCATCTGTGATTTTACCAGCCAGCTCCCGGCTCACATTCTCTCTCCAGGTGTCTGGCATCGCCGTTGGTGGCCCCCTCTGGGCCACCAGGATACTGAGGCATTGGTCCTGTCCTGCTACGGTCATCCATGTCGTTGAGGCGGAACGCAAGAAGAATTATACCTACCAGCAGCGACTCCTAGGACTTGAAGCAACCAGTAGGAAGCAACCAAGCGCTTGCAAACCATAACTTCGACATAATACAGTGCTGTGCATGCAGGGCACATGCAAACGCAAACAAGCAAGCCGCGCGAAAACAAGCAAGCGCGAATCATGGCAAGCAGTCGGCCCATGCACATGCAAGCAGACAGGATAACATCATACACGACTAATTTCACGCAATCAAGGAATAACGAAACACAAGCAAACCATGCAAGCACAAGCAATCAATCATGCAGTTCGAAGACGAAATATCAAGCCAACAGCTGGCCCATGCGGACGGACACACAACCAATAAAACAATATGCAAGGATGCGCGCTGGCGAAGAAACAAGAACATGAATACGTAACTGGGCAAGGAAGCCGTGCGAACATAAACCAGCACGCCATGCGAGCACAACCAACCAACCAAATCAAGAAACCATGTGGATACAAGCTAAATTGCAAGCCGTGCGAATGCAAGCGGACCAGCAAACAAACTTTGCGAATCCAAGCACATAAACAATTCAACCAGTAATACTTATTCAAACAAGCAAGCAAGTCAGCAAAGAAAGCATGCAGAAACCACGCACTGCAACACTATGTTTTGACAATAGCGTGCCCATGTAAGCAGCAAAAATAAGGGTGCCATATAATATAATATCAAAGAACATGCAAGCAATGCGATTGGAACTTTTCCCAGCGGCCGTGCCAATAGTTGCTGCACGTACACTGGCCGCGGGACCATGACGCCCCCCGCTTTTTAGACCGCGCGACGCAAATACAAATAACCCAATGAATATACACGGATAAACAGACCGTGCAATGATACATCGTGGCATCGAACTATCGAGCACCGCAAAAACGCTGTACTATGATTGAACAACCCATGGGACATGCTCCAGGCTAAAGCTGGACCCAACCAGATGCTTCGCCTAAGGCAGAGCATACGTCCAACCCTGTCGTATCGTATTAACGATGGTGCCAGAAGTAAGAAGGAGCCGCGTGAGCGGCGATGATACATCTCAAGAGAAAAGGCTGGAACCTTTTTCTGTCTCGATATAAGGTAGCGGGCCGCGGTGCGGCCCGGTCAGATAGGCGGCTGGTCACTGGGCCAAAATGGCCGCGGACAAACGCTCGATGCCTCTCGCCTTTGCCCTTCCTCCTTCAGTGTCGGGTGGGAGAAGACGAAGCGCGAATCCGCTACCGGACATACTCAGCAAAACATGTAGATTACACAAGAAAGGCGGCAGCCAGTGGGCTCAACCTAGGCAGGTTGCCCCGCAGCTCACTATTCCCCAGGCGGCTCATGTGGTCTCGCCTGGCCCGCTCTGTAGGGAGTGCGTCGCTTCGAGTCGTGCTTGAAGGATTGCACTCCTTCCATGACTTGCAGGGGCATGTCTCTGTCGATGCCCCCCTTGGTGTGGCCATCCGCACTCAGATCGCGAGTGTCGCACCACTGCGCACAACGCACGATGCCGCGCTTCATCATTTGCCCTATCCAAGAAATGTGACCCAACAGTGTAGATTCAGTCGGCTTCTTCAGGCCTTTGCTTGACAAAGAATTGGAGACGGATTCTGCATCAACGAGCAAAGCGCTCGAGCGGGGGTGCCCCGCGCCAGCTGCTGGCGGCCCCGGCGGCGCCTCCGGCGGCCCCAGCGCTAGCGCCCGAGGAGGCTGCAGCTTCAGCGCTGCGCATGTGCGGCAGCGTCGCGACCGAGGCCGTCGCGGCGGAATGGAAGGGCGACGCCGGCACGTGCCCACACTGCGGGCTTGCCCCCGAAGACCGCGAGCATCATCTCTGGCAGTGCCCAGCGTGGGAGGGCCCGCGGCGCGCCGCGCTTGCTGCGGCGCCACGATTAGAGACCCTGCCGAGTGACGCCGGTGCCCTGAGGCAGCTGCTGCTGGCAGGGGTCGCGCAGACCGGGGTCTTGGCGCCGCCGCCGCTCGTCGCTGCCCTCGTGGAGGCCGCCGGGGGCGAAGGCCCGCAGCTGCCGCCTGCAGGCGGCGTAGCTCCCGGCAGCGCCCCGCCGCACGGTGTGGGGCGATGGGGCATGCCTCCGCCCCGCCGACCCGCTGCTGGCGCGAGCGGCCTGGGGTCTCCAGGTCGAGGGCCTCGCAAAGCCCAACCTCGCTGGCCCGGACGGGCTCCAGTCGGCGTAGAGGGCCGAGGTGACGGCCGCGGCGGCGGCGGCTCGCTTTGTCGGTGGCCCCATCGACCTCGCCTCGGACAGCCAGTGCGTGGTGCGGGCGTGCGCCCAAATCGAGGCTGGCGCCGACGTGCGGAACTGGGGGCACGCCGACCTGTGGCCCCTGCTGATGGACGCCGCGCGCAGCGGCTGGCTCTGGGCCCGCTGGGTGCCCGCCCACAAGACGCCTGCGGAGGCGCGCCGCCTGGGGCTGAGCGAGAGGGACCGCCTCAGCAACGCGGCGGCCGACGGCAACGCTGGCGCCGCCGCGGCGAGCAGAGCGCCGCCGCCAGACGCGGTGCGCGCCCGCCGCCAGGAGCTGGAGCTGCTGGGGGCCGCGCAGCGCGCGATGGCTGCCGCGCAGCAGGCCGCCCTGGCGGCGGCGCCGCTGGCAGCGCGCCGCCGTCGTTGGAGGGTGAAAATGGGGGTCGGGCGCAGGGTCCCGGCAATGGTGTCGTCATGGGCCATGCATGGGCGATGCGTCCTCGATTGATGTGTTCGGCGGGGGAGCCAATTGAGGCTCCCCGCCTGCGCCCGTGCGCGAGACTTGAGGGTAGACGAAGCAAGGGGGCGGGGGGCTCGGGAAAGACGACGAAGGCAACGTTCGCTGAGAGCGCAAAAACAAATGTTGGAATACACGAAAGCGGTGAGGTGTGTGTGTGTGTGTGTGTGTGTGTGTGCGTGCGTGTATCAAAATCTGCTCAGCCAATCTGACATGCGGAACGCTGAGCCTCAGCTTTGGGGATCTTGAAGGCCAGAGCAACATGTGGATTCACAGCGTGGGGAAGAGCAATACGTGAATTCACATTTTGGGAACAAGGAAAATGTGAATTCACATGTTGGAAACATGAAAACGTTAATTCACCGTTTGGAATTTTATCTTTATGATGGAGCCAGAATATGCATTCACATTTTGGGAAAAAGGAGAATGTGAAATCAAATTTTGGAAAAAAGGAAAATGTGAATTCACATTTTGAGAAAATCATGGAGACCCATTCCAAATCTGTCTTGGGGGTCGACAAGTCTTCGTTTGGGAGCATGCGCGATCAACGATCGCAAAATCAAGACGCACTTGCACTCCACTTCGCCGCCCCACGCGCAATATGCAATAACACCCGGACGCATGAACGAAAATGGATAGACGGCGCGTTTGCCCGCGCGGGCAACGCGCGGGCACGAGCGACTGGCCCTCAATGACCGCCAACATTGGATGCCAATCGTACCCGATCACATACATGAGCGATGCATTGAGCATGCATGGGCGATTCAGCCCCCATTGAAGACCCCCTGTTGCAGGCCCCCTCTTTCACCCTCCAACGTCGGCGCGACTGGCACTGGGTGCGCCGCGGGGCCCGGACCCGCCCGGCCTCCGCGCAGCCGGGCGCCGCGCCCGCTGGACGCGCGCTTCCGCCAGCGCCGCCGCCGGGCAGCGAGGCCGACGACCCCGTCCGCCCAGGCGCCATGCTGGCTGCCATCTTCGCAGGGCGGTCGTGATGGCCGCGCGCCCCCGAGCAGGGGCCTGGCCATGTCGTCTGCCTCCGGTGCGGCGCCAGCGCCGCGGCGCCCGCGGAAGTGTGGGGCCGTGCATGCCCGGGGTGGAAGGAGGGGCTGCCGGCGCGCGGGCAAGCGCTACTCCTTCTCTGTGAACTGCGCTTCGCTGGGGGCAGCGCGGCGGACTTTGCATGCCTCGCTGCGCAGCGGCGCGCGCAGCTCCCCAAAGCG